CTATGTTTAGTTAATGTCTACCTCTGGAGTCACCCTTAATGCTTCTCTCAGCCCATTCTGATCTATAAACAAACCCTGTAGCTCCCTCCAAAATGCACACATCTACAATCTAGTCATGCCTCCACCGCACTAACAAACTCCATTGCATAGACCTTGGTCCAAGGCGGTATCTGACTCACCTGGATTCTACTTTAACTTTCGCCCTCCTATCCTATAATTTAGTTCCATCATGGCTGCCAGAGTGATCTCAAAGCCTTCCAATTTCCTATTTCACTCGGGCAAATGCCCAAAAGTCCTTGTGAGACTTTACATTGTCAGGTCTTTATTTTCTCTTCAATCTCATCTACCTCTACTCACTTCCCTCCTCACTCCACTTTATATGAGTGACATTGATAGTTTAAAAATATGACCTCCAAACCCTGCCTTTGCAACCTTGCATTGGATCCTTCACCTCCCTTTGGTGTTTTCTCCAATGTCACCATCTCAATTAAGTCTTCCTGTGTCACCTGTTCTGAAACCGACCTTTCACAACTATCATTTACTATAAACGGACACATTATACCTCTTATTTATTTACTATCTGTGGATCTACACTGTCTGAAGGGTGTCACGATGAGTTGGCTTGACCCGATGGCAGGGAGTTTTTCCCTCTGATTAAAATGTAAGCTCCACGAGGGCGAGAGTTTCGTCTTTATTACCTGCTATTACCTGTACACTACCTGATATAAAGTAAGCACTAAGTACGTATCTGTTAAATAAACAACTGTCAAAAGTCCATATTACTAGGGATTATTTTTAATGTCAATTTAAATAACCAAACACTAAGACAAAACCCCCAGAAAACAAATCCGAAAACTATGAAAATTTATTTATAATCCAAAAAGCGGTATTTGATTTGGACTTGAGTGGCCTCAACAATGCAAACCATATCTCACTTAAAATACAGTTCTAGACCAGATTTATATATAAGTATACATATATATTCTTTCAAATTATACATTGGACTGTACATAAAAGCACAAAATGAAAATAACCTATGAAGTTACCATTTAAGAAAGTCATCTTTGACTGACTGACTTAATAATGTTACTTACTGTTAAGAATGTCCAATAAAGAAAAACTGATAGAGTTCCCAATATTCATCTTCTATTACATGTACCTTAACTTTTCTTTCGCAACTCGCTTCCATGGCCCTATTTCACATCTAGCCTTAAACTAGGTCCATTCCAGCTTCAAAACCAAAACTTTAATATGTCAATTTCACATAAAACCTTTCATTTTTTCCAATCCCCGTTTTTTTAACTCAACTGCTCATCTGGCATAATAAAATTTTCAATTCTTTGAACCTTTGTAGCCTGCCCCCTCAATCCATCAGCTATTGCCCTCACTCTTCCTCCTTTCCACAGACTGAGCAAGCGGTCCATCCCCTCAACATACTGATTGGCATCTGAACCTCTCGTCATTTTGCCACTCAGTCAACAAAATTCTCCAAGTGTTCAACCCTGCCTATTCCCCATAATAAACATTACAAGCATTCAACAACCTTCCCAAGCCACCCTGCCTTTTTATTTGATCCTTCCCCTTGGGCAAAAGAGCACTAGAAAATAGTTCCTGCTACTTAAGTGCCTGCAGCTGGCTTAAGCTCAGTTCTTTTTCAAGCCTGGTTCTCCAACCTTCCTATAAATTCTGGGGGATATTGATATCTTTCCAGTACATTACTTTCCTACTTGTGTTACTCAAGGTCCCACTGTAGACTCCACCCTAGACGCCAGTAGCACCGTGTCCCCTCCACACTACCATAGGACAAAAAAGTTTCCAGGCTTTGCCAAATGTCCCCAAGGGGAAAATCACCCGTTTCAGAACCACTGCTTTAAACTCTGCAAAGATTCCCTCTCCACCCTCCATCCTGCCCTACTCACTCCCATTCTCAAGTAAGTCTTGCACCTACCATAGTAAGCCCTGAGCCTGAGGAACCGGTGTGTTGTAGAAGTCTGTGTGTGTATACACACACACACACACACACACACACACAGTAAAGCTCTGAGCTGAAAGGTCACTCCTCTTATTTCCTTTCTTATATTTCTTGTCACTTTTCTTTAGAACTCTCCATTTCCAGAGGGGTGGTGTGGGGTACAGAAGACACTACCCTTGGGAACCCTCCAAAATATTTTCTCTACTCGTCTTTCCAAGGATCAGGGTATTTTTCTCTTTAATAGATTAGTCCTGTTTCATTTCTCTTGAATGTAACCATTCCTGCCCCGCCTGACATTTCTCTGTCTCTGTGTGTGTATGTGTGTGTGTGTGTGTGTGTTTCTCTTATACACACACACGTTCCAGATGCATTCCAAGTAGACAATCTGTTTTTATTAACAATGCAGGAGATGCTTGGGACACAAATTAAGCAGGTAAGGAACAGGTTTGGCAGTCACTGAGCATTTGTCAATCACTTCAAAGCAATTACTCTGTCATACTTTTGCACTGTATCAGCTTCTCAAATGGCTGCATCTGGAGAATGGTTTTAATCATACATTGCCTACAGGCTAATACTGAGCATTCTCTTTTTTTCCTCTTGGTTCCTGTTTAAATGCTCTTCCTTGAAAGACACTCTACCGAAAGAGTTGTTGTCTGAATCCTTCCTTTCCAGGACACCAGCACCTTTACTCAATGATCCAATCACCCAGCATTTCCGAAAGCCAAAATGGCTCTACCCAAAACCTCGACTATTGGTGGCACACAGACGGCGCAGGACAGGGCACTGTCTCGTTCTGTTGCACACTGGGTCGCTAGGGGGTTGGAACCGACTTGACAGCACCTAACAGCAACAGTCTTATCTCGGTTAAAAAGACTATCGACGTGAGGTCATTTGTGTCATTTATCCATTGTTTCTACAAACAGCTACTGAGCAATGACTTTATGCCAGACTTAGGCAAAACATTCCTGCCTATAGGAAGTTGACACTCCAGTGGAGACAACAAATAACTAATGATGTATACAAGTGCTAGGGGAAAATTTTTAAAAATAAATTAGGAGAGCAAGCAAGATGGAGTGTGGAACTTTAAACGGTTCTGAGGTGGTTTCTCTGAGACGATACCACAGGCTCTAGCCATTGGCCGTGTCTGTTATTGGAAATGACATGTTCTAAGCATTTTCTGTTCAACTGCATTCCACACGACTGTGGCACAGAGGCTAAAAACACTCAGCTGGCAAATGAAATGGCAGTAGTTCGGACCAACTGGCCGCTCCTGGGAAGAAAGACGTGGCAGTTTGTTTCTGAGGTAGCTCTGGGGTAGTTTCACTCTGTTCCCACAGCAACGGGATTTATGGAGACACCTTCGGTGCTGGCCAGTCTGTAAAATGTAACTTGGCTGTGCTCATTTCAAAAGTTATCATTCACATGACTTTTACCATACCACAGTATCTGCCTTCTTTGGTCTTATGAGTCATTTTTCTTAGGAAAAAACACTATAAATGAAAGTATTTGCTGAGTCACCAAAACAACACAAAACTCACTGTCACTGAGTCCATGCACTCAACAGAACAGGGTAGAACGGTCTCCCGTGGGTTTCCTAGACTGTAACTCTTTTTTTTTTTTTTTTCTAATAATAATTCAACAATATGGGTTTATTCTGATCCCCCTTCACATTTTGCTTATATGGCATTTACATTTGTTATAGTGAGAAACAATATACTTACTTCTATGTTCAATACTGCAGTTATCAACTTTTGGCAAAGTGTAACCATGAAGATGCATCTTCATTCTCTCTTCTGGATAACACACTTGCTGAGTCCTTAGTTGATCCCTTACACTCAGTAACACCTCAAGAAATGCAGACACCTGAACCCATAAACTCTATTTTTTATATAGAATATCCTGACTTTTTTTTTTCTTTCTTAGACTGTAACTCTACAAAAGGAAATGCACGCCTCATTTCTCCCCAGAGCAGTGCCTGGTGGTTTCGAACTCTTGACCACTATGCCACCAGGGCTCCTGCAATCAGAAAGAATTGATTTCATTCCCGAGATAAGCCCGTGACATAAAACAACCTTGTGAATCCAGATTTATGTTGGCTATACAAATATATCATTTGATCTGGGTCCCTTCCAGCCAGTGAAAGGTAATCATTAACTTCCAGACAACTATCCAGAGAGTGGGTTCCTAACCAAGAGCTTTGTATTCACTGGTTAACAATCTGGAACATGTTCCTTCACTCAGGCAGTGTCTGGAGACAAATATGGAGAAGCCGGGAGCAGTAGCAAACTGCCAGCACTACTGAGTCATGTTTCTGACTAAACCGTGTTATGAAATGGAAAGAATGACAAGCCCTAGGATTTCAGGCCACACATGTTAACTCCCTGTATTTATGGCTTCTAGACTTAAAAGCAAAACAAAACAAAACAAAAGACAAACAACAAAGCCCCAAAACGGATTTGAAAGAATGATACGGGGTTAAGCGACTCCGGGACGAACTTGCCAAAGCTGGGGAGCTGTTTGCATAAGACAAATTCTACTGTGCAAACTGGCACACCCTCCGATGCAACTGAGCGGAATGCCCAGCTGGGGTGAACTGGGAACAATGGCAAGGGTCACACTTCAAGCAGACAGTTAGCCTCAGCCCTAAAAGTTCCCCGGACCCTGGGCCGGCTCGGGTAGCGGAGGCGAGGGCAAGTCGACGTCCAGCACCCGTAGGCTCCCAACGCAAACGAAGCACCTGGCTGGTGCCGGGGATCTCCAGCCTCCGGCAGGACAGCCCAGCCAAGGGGGCCCGCGGCGGCCCCAGACGCCTTCTCCCCGGGCCCCGCGCCCCGTTCCCCCCGGGGAACCTGTGCAGCGGCGGCCTCCCAGGTGCCGCAGGCGCCCGCAGACGGGACCAGGGCCGGATCCCGACGGGAGGCGGCGGGGGCTGCGGTGAAGCGTTCGGGTCTCCTCCCCGTCGGCTGCCAGTCCCTGCCGCCCCCCGGGCTCGCGGGGGGCTGGGTGCCCCCGCGGGGATCTCACAGACCTGGAGAGGTGCTTCAGGATCTGTTTCTTGATGATCCCAGCCATGGTGCCGGGGCCGGTGGCGCGGCGCGCTCTCGCTGTGGCTCACTGCTCCTCTCCTCGTGGCCGCCGCCTCTGGATTCCGGTTAACCTGGCCGGAGGAGTGGCGTCTGGGTGCTCACGCCCGGGAGAGACCTGAGGCCCCGGCTGAGGCCACAGCTGCCGCCGCCGCCGCCGCTGCCGCTGAGGGCACTGAACATTGCGCTCAGGCCGCTGCCGCCGCCAACAGCGCCATCTTGGCTGCAGCATCACCTAAGAGACCTGGGGGAGGGCGGGGAGGGCTCGCGGAGGGGGGCGGGGCGAACTCAGGCCCCGGACGGGACGAGACGGATACGTGGCGGGGCGGGGCCAATAGGAGGTGGGGCGGAGCTTCTTGGTTCTGCTTGCTCACTGGAAGCTTCAGCAGGGGCTGTCCCCAGTTTGGGTGCTTCTTGATGCTTTCAACCACAATTCAAGAACTTAAGTGGTTTTTAGTCCTCCCTCTCCAGCCGCTGATCATGTTCCAACTTCCCTCACAGGATGTTCCCTCCACATCCTACTTCTCTTTTTCATTTCCTGAGAATTTAACTGTTCCTTGGACTACTTGCTTTGAGCATTAAGGTACACCTAATCTGAGCCATGGAATTTTATAACCCCTCACATGCACGTAAAAGCTAGACATTGGGTAAGGAAGACTGTGGGAGAATCGATGCATTTGAATTATGGTGCTGTCAAAGAATAGTGAAATTACCATAGACTGCCAAAAGAACAAACAGATCTGTCTTGTAAGAAGTACAGCTAGAATGCTCGTTAGAGGCAAGGGTGGCAGGACTTCACCTTATATACTTTGGACATGTTGTCAGGGGAGACCAGTCGGTGCAGGAGGACATCAGGCTTGCTAAAGTGGAGGGGCATCATAGAAGAGGGTGGCCCTTGAGGATGGATTGACACCGTGGCTGCATCAATGGGCTCAGTTGTGAGGATGGCACCCGACTGGGCTGTGCTTCGTCTATTGGACATAGGGCTGCTACGAGTGGGAACCGACTCAATAGCATCAAACAACAACAACAATGAACTGCTTGATCTGTTTTTCTCTCTTTTGCTATTTGGTTTGCTCTCTTTTCCTACTCAGTTCTCTTCGTAATCTATCCTCTTTCTTCTCCTTTCCTAAAATATCTGCCTTCCCCAAGATAAATGTTAGGATGTAATATTTCCTTCCTCTGAATATTTCAGCCCAAAGGGAAGTTTGAAACTCATCTTAATAGAATTTTGTTATTGTTGGTTCCATTTGAGTCTATCCTGACTCTTGGTGACCACCTGTGTGCAGAATGCTTCCTAGAATTTTCAAGGCGGTGAGTTTTTGGAAGCAGATCATCAAGCCCATTTTCTGATGTGCATTCAAACCTGTAAGCTAGTGGTGAGGACTTAACCTCTCAGCCACACCGGGTCTCCAATAGTAGAACCTATCATTTGGACTTAACCTCTCAGCCACACCAGTCTCCAATAGTAGAACCTGTCATTGTTAGGTGCCAATGGAGCGGGTTATGACTCACACTGACCCTGTGTACAACAGAACAAAACACTGTTTGGTTTTGTGCCATACACGCTGTTGTTGCTATGTTTGAGCACATTGTTGCAGCCATTGGGTCAATACATTTTGTTAAGGGTCTTGGCGATTGAAAATGTCCTGGCTTGTGTCAGGTGTACCTCAGTCCTCAAATTGACATCTTTGTTTAATGTGCAGTGAGTAGCAAAGCAAGGATTTGTCCGAGGACTTTGATTTCAGAGGCTGCACTCTTAGCCACACTCTCTTTGATTTCAATAACAGCACCTACCTTACAGGGTTTTTATACTTCCTACATTCCACATTCCAGTTATTAATGGATGTTTGCATTAATAGGATGTCTTTTTTTCCTTCTCATTTTTGAGACATACCCCATTGGCAAATGAAGGCCCTGAAAACTTTGAGCCATCCACAGCATTAAGGTCAACTCTAAGCAGGCAGCTCTTCCCCTATCATAATTTTAGTGACTTCCAATCAGAGGGTTCATCTTCCAGCACTCTATCAAACAATATTCCGCTGATATTCATACGGTTTTCAGTATATCTGACAATGTTCTGATGTTATTCTAAGTATGTTCATAGGCTAAAGCACTGGAACCTGTATACCATGATGACCTTGATGCTGGTATATGAAATACTGGTCATATAGCATCACAGCAACATGTAAACCACCAAGGGACAACAAACCGATACATGATTATACAGGACTAGGTCATCCTGCTGGCTGGCTGGTACCTAACAACAAAAACCTCAGAGAGAGAAAGACCTGGAGATTGGCTCCCATAAAGCTTACAGCCTAGAAAAAACCCTATGGAGTATTTCTACTCTGTCCTATAGGGCTGCCGAAGCGGAACTGATTCCTTGGCATTTTACAGCTACCACCTACCTCATGGGATCAGCATGTGTAATGCTCGTAGAATAGCATATAGGCACACATTAAATGACATGCAAACATTAACCATTATCATGATCAAAACTCAAGGTGACACAGCCATTTATGACATTGTCTGGATGTGAAGCCAAAATTAATCTTCTTAACATTATGAATCATTAGATAAGCATATAGAACAGACACCTAATTCCAGTTAAACCAAAAACAAACCAAACTCACTGGCACCAACTTAATTCTAACTCATAGCAATCGATAGGGCAGGGTGGAACTGCGAGTTTCCAAGACTGAAACTCTTTTTTTTCCTTTTCTTTTCTTTTTAATCGTTTTACTAGGGGTTCATACAACTCTTCTCACAATCCATACATACATCAATTGTGTAAAGCACATTT